ACAATACAATACAATACAATACAATCATGGAAAGTTGATTGATGAGGTATTGCATGATGAATTTAAACATTATGTGTGGGTGATATGCTTTTCTATCTTTGAAAGTAAACACTGCATTTTTTAAAGCCATCCAGGATGCTCTTCACTACTATCTTGCACTGATTCATCATTGTTTATTTCTTCTTTGGATTATGAAGTGGTTTTCACTAAATTGTTCACCTAGTTTGTATGCTCATTCAAGGCTCTATACTTGTAACATGTTTAAAACAGAAATTAAATTGAAAAAATAGTTGCTACTTCCTGCTAAGTTACTTTGCAATAATAAATCATGAAAAATACACATGGCGAATTATTGAAAATGTCATAATTTCCTTGCCTGGTTATAATAATTTTAAAGTGATAGTTGCCATGGCAATTCATTTAAATGCATTATTTGTTTTAGTTTACTGCGATAATAAATTTCCTGTAATTCTTTTGCCTTCTGTTCTCCAAAGAGTATACTGTAGAATACTGTGGAATACTTTATTTTCGCTGGAATTAATTTTCACTGAAAAGGCTTTTTGGGCGTTTCGTATGGAATTTATTTTCAACGATTTTTGATGAATTTAATGTGAAATACTAGTATAGGAAAAAAAGTATATTCGCTGGATTTTATTTTCACAAAATCATCCCTTAAGCAAAAATAGCAAAAAATAAATTCCAAGCAAAAATAAAGTATTCTACAGTAGTTTATTTCCGTTGGAATTAATTTTCACTATTTTCGCTGAAGGAATGATTCAGTGAAAATAAATTCCATACAAAACACCCAAAAATCTATTCAGCGAAAATAAATTCCAGCTAAAATAAAATATTCAACAGTAAACTATGACATACCTGTGTGGCCATATTCCTATACCAGACATGAACACTACTGAGTCAGTTATATTTGAATGCGCACATAGCTGACTTGCAGCAGTACCAGAAGCACTGTGACAAACCAGTACTGTGACCCTGTAATGATAATTTATTAGTTACACCATGCTGAGTGGTAAATGGTAAATATCAAACATTCAAGAGGCATGCATTTTCTCCTGGTTTTTATTTTAATTTTAACTTGCAATATTGAGAAACAAAATGACAAAGTAAAAGATGAATATACATGTGGCCAATGTACAGGCTATGCACATGTAAACATTACCTAGACTGCTGGTTGTGTACAAGTAAACAACACCTAGACTGCTGGCTATGTTCATGTAAACAGCACCTAGACTGCAGGTTGTGTACATGTAAACAACACCAAGACTGCTGGCTATGTACATGTAAACAGCACCTAGACTGCTGGTTGCATGCATGTAAACAGCACCTAGACTGCTGGCTATGTACATCTAAACAGCACCTAGACTGCTGGCTATGTACATGTAAACAGCACCTAGACTACTGGCTATGTACATGTAAACAACACCTAAACTGCTGGCTATGTATATGTAAGCATCATCTAGACAGCTGGCTATGTACAAGTAAACAGCACCTAGACAGCTGGCTATGTACATGTAAACAGCACTTAGACTGCTGGTTGTGTATATGTAAACATCACCTAGACTGCTGGCCATGTGCATGTAAACAACACCTAGACTGCTGGCTATGTGCATGTAAACATCACCTAGACTGCTGGCTATGTACATGTAAATAGCACCTAGACTGCTGGTTGTGTACATGTAAATATCACCAAGACTGCTGGCTATGTACATGTAAACAGCACCTAGACTGCTGGCTATGTACATCTAAACAGCACCTAGACTGCTGGCTGTGTATATGTAAACAGCGCAGAGACTGCTGGTCGTGTACATGTAAACAGCAGTTAGACTGCTGGCTATGTACATGTAAACAGCACCTAGACTGCTGGCTGTGTATATTTAAACATCACCTAGACTGCTGGCCATGTGCATGTAAACAACACCTAGACTGCTGGCTATGTGCATGTAAACATCACCTAGACTGCTGGCTATGTACATGTAAATAACACCTAGACTGCTGGTTGTGTACATGTAAATAACACAAAGACTGCTGGCTATGTACATGTAAACAGCACCTAGACTGCTGGCTATGTACATCTAAACAGCACCTAGACTGCTGGCTGTGTATATGTAAACAGCGCCTAGACTGCTGGTCATGTACATGTAAACAGCACTTAGACTGCTGGCTATGTACATGTAAACAGCACCTAGACTGCTAGCTATGTATATGTAAACAGCGCCTAGACTGCTGCTCGTGTACATGTAAACAGCACCTAGACTGCTGGCTGTGTACATGTAAACAGCACCTAAACTGCTGTATATGTGCATGTAAACAGCACCTAGACTGCTAGCTATGTACATGTAAACAGCACCTAGACTGCTGGTCGTGTACATGTAAACAGCACCTAGACTGCTGGCTATGTACATGTAAGCAGCACCTAGACTGCTGGCTACACTACAGTTCTCGCGGAAGCTTTGGCTTTTGTGGCATCATTGTCACCTACGCATGGCTTCATTGTCGCCTCAGCATCGTGTCATTGTGGCATCAGCTTCGCGTCATTGACAATTGAAGCTGTGTTCGCCTCGCTTATTCTGTGGCATCATCGTGGCCTCAGCTTCGCAGTCTCATGGCATCAACATGGCATCAACATGGCATCAGCTTCAAATGATTTCGACATGAGTATGACCTCATTATTTTCACATGGAAAAGCAGTAGAGTAAAAAAAAAAACATGTACAGAAGTTCGATATGTAATCCATTTGAAATTCAAGGCGGTAAGGGGAATAAAATTATATGACCAAGAGTAAAATGACATTTTAAAAAGATATCTTGTTTAATTATTTAATGTTGCGAGTATTGGGTACCAAAAACTTTGTGAAGTACATTGCAATCTGCAAGGTGAC